AGATGGGTACAAGGTGCTATACCGATTTTTAAATCAGGCCAACTTCTACGGGGTGTTGGTTCGGGGAGAGTTAAAGACTTGATCTCCCCAGATACGAGATCTTGGAATGTTGCTATTATAAGGGACATATTTGAGTGGAGTACTGCCAGAATATTCTAGAAATGGAGTTGCCTTTGAGCGAGGAGAAGGATGTTCTTTACTGGGGAGGGCATCCATCTGGAATCTATACCGTAAAGGCGGGCTATGCTTTCCTCATGAGCAACTGTAGTTTGCAACAGGAAGTTTTATCTGACAATGTTTTTTACAGGTTAATTTGGAAGCTCAACATCCCACCAAAGTGGAGTTTATTCCTTTGGAAGCTAGAAATGAATGGGCTAGTCGTCAAGGCTAACCTTGTCAAAAGAGTGATAGATATTGAAGATTACTGTGACTCTTGTGGGAAGGAAGGAGAGGACTTGCAACATCTTTTTAGAATGTGTTCTTTTGCAAGGTATGCTTGGAGGAACTGCTCCTTGCATATCTTGTCTGAAATTGATGAATCTACTCCTTTGGGACAATGGGTTTACAATTATATCCTGCTTTATCATAGCGAGGATGGAAAGGGGAGTGAACGACTGGGAATGTTCATAGGGGTCCTTTGGAGTCTCTGGCGGCTAACTAGAAATGGAAGGGTCTTTCGTAATCAGGGAGGATATCTTGCGTATTTGTTTAGAAATTTCAATATGGCAATGCAGGAACTATCAGTGTGGAGGAAGGTGGATGGGGGGGATGTTGTTAGAGATAAGGTAAGAGGTAATGATGGTGCGCCACCGGGTTTTGTGAGAGTAAACATTGGGTGTGAAAGGGAGGAGAATTACCACCCAACATATACTAGATTGGAGGTGACTAAGCTATAATGACGGATGGCTCTTGGCAAAAGCAGACGAGGATGGCAGGAATAGGGTGGGCGTACTCTGAAGACCAGATAACCTACATGGAAGGAGGAGGCAACTATGGCAAAGCACACTCATCTCTAAATGCGGAAGTCATGGCATGCGTGGCTGCTCTAAAGTGGGCACAAGTGAAGGCTTACCAGAGAATACTTGTGTTCACTGATTCACTGGCCCTAATCCAATTAATCGCGCATCCGAATAAGCGAGAGATCAGGCTGAGGTGGACTATCCAAGAGCTCCTACGTGTAGGACAATGTTTTCTAACTTGCATCATATGGAAAGTGGGAAGAGAACAGGTTGCCAAGGCCCATGAAGTTGCGAATAGTTGTAGAATCAATTTAAATAGCTTTGTTGTTTAAGTTTTTATTTTTGAGTTTTATGTTGTCAAAAAAAAAAAAAAAATAATAATAATAATAAAAAAAAAAAAAAAAAACCAGATGTATATCCATTTAAATTTTCTTATCTTTTAACCCAACTATTAATCTAGACTTAATTTGATTCAAATACCTTAACAACCCCAAAAACTTATCACATTTTATAGTAATCATATCACACCTTAAGCTCTATCCTTTCTACACCCTCAACACTATAAATAGACCCATAATTCTTCCCACTTATTCACACCAATTCTCTACTTTTCTTCTCCTCTTTTTACACAAATCATCCCGTTTATCTTTGAAGCCAATTTTTGGGCACCTCTGGTTAGTTTTGGGATATTGACGTTTTACCAAATATTGTTCTTCTCGAAAAATTCTTGAGGTTAGGCTCAAGAATCACCCAATTCGGAGTTATATCAAAGGAGTTATAGCCTATGCAAGTTCTGCCTATTCTTTCCAACGTAAATCCAATAATTCTCTTTTCCTTGGTTTCATATCTTTTCTTATTCTCTTCTCTTATTCAATTATTATTTGGGGGATTTATAAATAATTATTATGAGTAGTTTTAATTATATAAAATCAGATTTTTAATAATATTTATGTTGAAAGATTCATGTACATATAGTTGGGAGTTTTTAATTTAATTATTTGTGAACCTTATATTGATTAAGGTTATATTTATTTGTAGGTTCTTGAGGTTCTTTTTGTGTGGTTTTTCTAGCAAGGATCAAGGTACGTTTAGGTGGCTAGATACCTTTGAAAGTAATTAGTTTGAGTAACATGTTTGACATGATTTGATTGGTGATTGAATTAAATTGATTTTGAAATAAATTATGTTTGAAGGTATTTATTTTAATAAAAGTATTTGAATGATTGATTTTTAAATCATGTTTTGAATGGTTTGGATTACTTATCGTGTTTAAATAATATTGGGAACTATTGAACATTAAAAGGATTTATTGAACCATTGAATTATTATTATTAATGATTTATAAGCATGTTAGTAATCTCACTATGCGGATTTGGTTTATTGATAAGGCCTTGGACTTTGTATGACCGGGTCTTTCCTCAAGAATAACCTTGTTATATAAAGAGACTAGCTTGGGGGGTGTGCACACTTGGGTGAGTAATTGGATTAAAAGTTTAATAAAGGAATTGGTTTTATTAACTATTATTTTGAATATTGAATCATTGGAATCGGTTTTGGAATAATGAGTTTTGAATTTATTAGATTAATTATTGGAATTGGTTTTAAAAGCATGTTTGCAAATAAATTGAGTTTATACTATCTTGCACTTATCGTACTTAGCATATTTTGCTAATCCGTATTTCTTATTTGTTTTGGTTCGCCCTGTTTCCGTAATGGTAACTAGTGTTGACTATTTTCAGGTGGAGTCATGAATGAGCATATGGGAGTCCAGGGATTGGCTTCACCTAGTTTAGAAATGTTGGTATTGTCTTTATTTTTTAGCACTTATAACAATGTTACTATTTTTATAAGTATTAAAAAAAGAAAATCGAGTTTCCGCTGCAAGTTTTGTAGTTGAGTTAAGTATTTTGAGTAGCCTTGCGTAATCACGCGGCGGTAATACGCCCAAGTCTATCTCTACGCTATAATTATACGTATTATACTAGTATTTCCGTAGAGGGAGATTTGGGGGTGTTACAAGGGTGTTTATTGAGTCGTTTTTTGGCTTATTTTCCAATAATTTAGCTCATTTTATCATTTATTTCTTTTATTTTCTTATTCTCGTCTTTTATATTTTAATTTGAGTATTTTGTAGTTTTTAATAGTTTTTAGTTTAATTTCGTAATTTATTTATGTTTCTTATTCTATAGTGTTTTTAGTCTTGTATCTAGTTAATAATAATCTTCTCGCTTTTCTCCTTCTTTTATTTTCAATAAGTTTCTAGTTTGTTATTGTAGACATGTACTTTTGGCCACCTGTCCCGACAACAAGTGCAATGACAATAAATAAAACCATCTTTATGTTGGATCGAAGTGAAGAATGCTTATGGATGACTGGATAAACCGCAAAACACAAAAAGACTAGCCTCACCCAAAACAAATACAAAACAAGGTCCGATTAGCTAAACCCGATCATAACTAGGCTTAACTCGGGCTTAAGACCCAATAATGATGGATTTAGAGGCGCCTAGGTTAAAATTAAAGCCGCCGAAGAAAAATCCGCGCGCATCTCATTGAGTCGCGCTTGTCTGGCGCGTGCAACTAATTTAGTTGCGCGCAACACCCGGTGCAACTTCTAGAGATGCGCTCGCAGAAGATTAAGAATTTTATAAATTATGAAATCGAATCTTACCATAAAACCGCGCGCAAGACATTTAGTTGCGCTGCCCTTAGCAGCGCAATGAAATCACTTGCGCTGGGATGCCGCGCGCAACTCATCTAGATGCGCGCGACACCTGCTGCGGTAAAATGTTTACAACCCTAATTACACCCATTCCCTATAAAATAGGGGGCCTAATACGAGGCTAAAACAGATAGAAATGAACCTAAAATCCTGACAGAAACTAGTGAACTGATCGAGGGTTAGATAGGTCGTTAAACTACTACCTTAATCAAATTAATCATTTATAATACCTAAACTTACACCAAACTAGTTAGTGGCAAGTAAAGGGTTGAACCACTATGGAAGCACACTAATTCAACATCAATATTCACTAATGCAAAGAGTAAAAATGAGATCGTTTTTGTTTGTTTTTTAGTAAAGAGCACTAAAACTACAAATAAGCAAAGAAGATGATTAAATCAAGGGAGAATGACGCTAGGGATACGGGGGTGTCAAATATGATTAGAAAGAGGGGAATAATAATGATTATCATGAAGAACATGCCAAAGAACACAAGATTATACCTAAACAATTCATTCTCATGCAATAGTCTACGCAAATCAATGAAAAAAGTCTATACTAATAAGGATCATTCTCATGCATCCTAATAGTTACAATCAAATCAAGAGAATAAAGAAGCACAATCCATAAAACTCCAATTTAATAACTCATTCTCATGCAATCATTAAAATAGAGATGATCTTAATCTAGTTTAAATCACTTTCATGCATTTAAACTAGAAAACATCAAATAGAGTGCAACAGTAATCTCAAGCTACCAAAAATCATGTCTTTCATCAATTTATGGCATGAGTTCAATCCAACCATCATCATTCATCCAATATCAACACATATTTTTCACCCCCTTCCCCTAGCTAAGAAATTAGCCTAGAGAAGGGAGATTAAACATAATATAAAAACTAGAAATAAACTCAAGAAACTCAAAACAAAACATGGTTAAGAATAATAAAATCAATAATAACTAGATGAACTAATAAGATTAGCAAAAATAAGCAACAATAAAGCAAATAAATAAAGCTAAAAGAAAGGATTAGAGATTACTAAAGAAAGGATTAATGAAAGATGAAAACTTGAAGTGTTGCTTGATTGAAGATTAAACTTGACCAAAGTCGAATACAATGAAGAAAATTGAGCAATAATCTACTTTCTCTCTCTAAAATTATCTAATCTAACCCTAAGAAAGAGAAGCTCTCCTGAAACTAATTAGAAAATAGAATAAATGGTTGTTACTAATTACCCCAGAAAATGGGTATTTATACAAAGCTAGGAAAACTAAGTATAATAAAAGAAAAATGAGAAAATAAAGAGGAAACAAAAGAAAATAAAAGAGTAAGGAAAATAAGGAAAGGAAAAGGAAATTAAAATAAAAGGAAAACAAAAACTACTAAAATCCAAATCCCACGAAACAATAATACACTACAACGAATATAAGCTTTAGTGGCGTTTATATAGTGGCATTTATCACAAATGCCACCTAAGCCCGTGAGTAGCAATCCAAAAGAATAGCTTTGGACGACATTTGTAAAAAAAAAAACGCTGCTGGAGCCCAAATTTCAGTTCGCGGGCTTGTAAACCTTGTGGTGCCCGAATTAATTTTTCACTCCAAAAATAAAAGTTCCAAAATTTTGTTTCTCACTCTCTCCGTCTCACTCACACTGTTTGCTGGTTCAGGTACTCTATTCTCCCTCCATGGTGTTCATCATCTTCTTCCTTTCCTCTAACATCTTTTTCCCTTTTCTCTTTGTTTATAACACTGTCATTTACACGCTTCTTTAAATTTTGATCTTCTCTACTTCTTATTTAGTAATTCATTTTCTAGGGTTTGGGTACTTGTGGTCTACTATTGGAATTTTGAAGGTAAACTTTTGAATTACTCTTTTTCTCTTTCTTCTATTGTTTTTCATACCCAATTTCATTTCTTGAAACCCATTCATGTAAAATGTATAAAAACCCCTTCTAACAACATACTTATTAAATTGAATTGGGGCTCCATAAAAATCAGTATAATTTAGCCAATACCTTACTAATTGATAGCTAAGTATAATTATAATGTCGTTCTTTGAATTATTATAGGAAATTGTTGTTGTACAGTGAACAATTTGGATATATATTCAAAGATTAATTTAGATTATCTAAATTTCCCAAACCCCTGTTGTTTTCGTGAATGTTTTTTGGTTAGGTTTGACCTTTTTTTTTTCTTTTTCTTTTTAAAAAAAAATTGTGGGCAGGTGGAGGAAACTACTTATTTTGTAGATAACAAGTTTTGGAAGAAAGTTAGTTTGTAGATTAAGAGTGTTACTTACAGCAAGATTCTCAATGTATATTCACATCCTTTATCATTTTAATATTGATAAATTCTATAGTTTGTTGTTATTTGAGATATGCTAATGTGTAAATCAATATTTGATAGATTTGTTTTGCATTGTGTTTATAAATTTGCATTTAACTTTATATAGGAAAAAATTGTATACATTTACTCAAAGTGTACATTATATAATGCAGGTTATATGAGTGCTAGCTTTGTTTTAGTTGATGGTTGCAAATATTTGAGTGTGTATTCTATGAATATATGAAAATTTTGTAGTTTGTCTAATCTTTTTCCATCTATGTGTTGTTGCCTTTCCTGTGTAAACCACCCCATATTATTGAACTTTCGTCTTGTTTGTGACCCTTTAGTTATTGGACTTATATGTTATAATTTAATCAACTTAGTTAAAATGTAGATAGAAATAAAGAAAGATACATATAACTTATTATTATTGGGTTGTGGCTTGTAGGCATGTGAGTATTAACTTTTTGTATAAGCTAAAGATGAAGTGTGTGCTTGTGTGATTTGTTGTGGTAGCCAAGCATCGTCCTAGTAATAATTTCGGGTGTTCTCACTTAAATTGTATCTGATGGATGTCTGACATCTAATATCTCCTTTAATTGTTCTTATGCATTAGTCATGTACTATTGTTGGGACTAGTTTATGTGATTTATTAGAGTTTTGTTTTAGACCTATAAATGTATATAGGTGAACTTATTTAACTTGTTAATTTACTATATTGCTTTTAAAAGTGTCGTTTCCTTTTTGTTAGTTTGATAATTATAAGAATTATAAACATATAATAAATAAAAAATATTATTAAAGATAATTTAATGTCTTAGTATAATTTGGATTCATTTGTTTGTTATTAAAATCTGTGCTAGTTGGTATTATGAGTTTACTCTCCCAATTATATCAATAATAGCATATTCTTATATTTTTATATCAACCAGTGTGACTAATGGATCATAGGAAGCGCAAATGGATTGTTAGTAATAAGTGGGGATGAGCACTTGATTGGGGTAAATGAGTTTTTGAACTTTGCTTTTAGAGACGATGAAAATGGGAAAGTTCCATGTCCATGCCAAAGGTGTGTAAATAGGTTTTCTAGATCTAGAGATGAAGTATTTACTCACCTAGTGGAGCATCGGATGCTTGAAGGCTATGACACATGGTATTGTCATGGGGAATCATTATCTGATTTTGTTCAAGTGCAAAATTTGAATGTAGATGAAGGAGTAACTGGTCTTAATGATAACCAATCTACAGATAAAGATATGATGGAAATGTTACATGATATTTTTGGAGCTCCCACTCAACCTCAAAATATGGACTTGGATGAAAATGTAGAGGATGACTTACATTCAGGGGGTTTTGCTGAAAATAATAATGCTTTTCTTCCTCATGATGTTCAGAAATTTAATGATTTCATTAAAGATGTAGATTCAGAATTATATCCTGGGTGTACAAAATTTAACTGCCTATCATTTTTATTACACTTGTACCATATCAAATGTCGTTATGGATGGTCAAATACATCTTTTGATGTGTTGGTGAAGTTACTAAAAGAAGCTTTTCCTGATGGAGCTACTTTACCAAGTTCATTTAGAGAGTCCCAAAAGATAGTTGATGGATTAGGTCTTAATTATGAGAAGATAGATGCATGTCTAAACGATTGTATGTTGTTTTGGAAAGATAAGGTTAATGAGGAGGAGTGTTCTATATGTCATGCTTCTAGATGGAAAGACGATGGTAAATATGAAAATGTCTCTGTTTGTAAGAAAAAGAAGATACCTGCAAAGGTGTTGCGTTATTTTCCTTTAAAGCCCCGGCTACAAAGGCTTTTTATGTCATCTAAAACAGCAAATGACATGACATAGCATGAGAAAAAACGTAAGAACGATGGAGTGTTAAGGCATCTAGCAGATTCTGAGGCTTGGAAATGCCTTGACACTAAATTCCCTGATTTTCATGCTGAGCCTCGTAACATGAGACTAGGGCTTGCAACTGATGGTTTTAATCCATTTGGAAGAATGGACAGCACGTATAGCATTTGGCCCGTAATTCTTATTCCCTACAATCTACCTCCTTGGTTGTGTATGAAAAAAGAAAATTTCATTTTGTCATTACTTATCCCGGGCCCAAAATCACCAGGAAATGACATTGATGTGTACTTACAACCTCTTATTTAAGAATTAGTTGAATTATGGGAATTAGGAGTTCCTACACTTGATGCTTCAACTGGAGAAGTATTTCAAATGCATGCAGCACTTTTGTTGACTATAAATGATTTTTTAGCGTTGGGAAACTTATCAGGGTGGAATGTCTATGCAGAATTTGGTTGTCCATCTTGTAATGTGGAAACTCATTCTATGAGATTAAAATACGGTCATAAATTTTGCTTTATGAATCATGATCGCTTCTTAAATGATTTAACTGCATCTAGACAACCTTCAGGAGAGAAAGTATTGGAGCAACTGAAGCACATCAATTTTACTTTTGGTAAATTAAGTCGATGCTTCAATGGGACATGGAAAAAGAAGAGCAATTTTTTTAAACTTTCTTATTGGAAGCATAATTTGATCCGTCACAACCTTGATATGATGCATGTGGAAAAAAAAATGTGTGTGACAATATTGTAAACACTTTGCTGAATATTGAGAAGAAATCAAAAGATAACTTAAGTGCCCGACGTGACCTTAAAAAATTGCGTATAAGGAAGAGATTGTGGCCTAAACGACGAGGTCAATCTGGAAGGTGGTTTTTACCGCCTGCTTGTTTTAACATGAGAAGGAGCAAAAAAAGATTTTCTATCAAGTTCTGGAAAATGTTAAATTTCCAGATGGATATGCATCCAACATATCACGTTGTGTTAAAAAGCATCGAACTTTAGCTAGTCTAAAAAGTCATGACTGTCATGTATTAATGCAATGTCTTCTTCCTATTGCTCTACGAGGGAATCTTGATGACAAGGTTGTTTCAGTCCTCGTTGGATTGTGTAACATCTTTCGAGTGTTGTGCGGGAAAACCCTTCATATCCATGAACTTGATTTACTCGAGCAGAAAGCTGCAAGGGTGCTGTGCTGTTTAGAGAAGATTTTCCTACCTTCATTTTTCACAGTGATGGTTCATTTGGTTATTCATTTAGTACACGAAGCTAAAGTTGCAGGTCCGATGCATTATCGGTGGATGTATCCAATTAAAAGGTAGCGGTAATATATTCTTTTTCTGATGGAAGTCTTTGAACTTGATATATACAATTGAATCGTAAATTATTATTATTATTATATTTTTTTTTTGTTTATCTACTAGGTACCTGAAAACATTGAAATCCTTTGTGCGAAATAAAGCTCGGCCAGAAGGGTCTATTGTTAAAGCTTATCTTGCTGAAGAGTGTCTCACTTTTTGTTCAAGATACTTGAAAGGTTTAAAATCTAGGAATCATTCTAGAAATAATGCTAACAATGAATAGGCTGAAGATATTGAAGATATTGAAGATAATGAACCAGACATTCTTTTCCCTGTAGATGGAAAGCCATATGATAACATTCGTGGTTTTAAAATGGATGAAAAAATGTGGAAGCTGACAGACTCAAGTCGTATTCACCTAAACAAAAATAAAACCTAAATCCACTAACTATGTAGATAGGGAAGAAGGGTCGAACTACAGGGAAACAAGTCAATTTACTACTAACTAATTAAATGCAATTTAAATTATCAAGTAACAAATTGTTGCAAAAAGGTAATTAAATACTAAAAGGTAAGAGTATGAAGGGAATAAAAAGGGGTATAAATCAATGAAAGGAAAACCTAGGGCATAGGTTCACTAATAAACAATATTCCAGGGCAAATCATAATAAGCAATCATCAAGCATCAATTAATCAGATTATAAAGGGCTTTCGCTACGTATTATAATCACATAGTTAATTTACCGGTATTAAATCTCATCTCTCGAATCTCGACTTAACCATTTAAAAATTAATCCGCCTATTGAAACTAAGCCTAAACATCAATTCTCATCTGTCGAATCTCGAATTAATATTTCTAAACTCATACAATTAAATCTGGCCAAACCTAATTGCATAACATTAAATCAATCAATAGGAAATTAATTAAGCATTGATAATCAACAATCACAAATTACCCCTTCATATTATTTATTAGATCCCCATAAACCCTAGAAATAAAACTACTCAAGCATAATTAAATCTAAACTAATCAAAACAATAAAGCAAGACATGATGAAAGAATTAAAGAAAATAACTAAAATTAAAAGAGAAGAAATTGTTACCAAAAGAAATCTGGATTAAGGAATGGAGTTAAGAACAAAGTTGAGAGAATTTAAGAGAGAGAAAATATTCTAAGTAGAGAGAGAAAATCTAAAAGAGAAGGTAATCAAAATTACGTACAAAAATCGTACTTAAACATCCCTAAAACAAATCCTAATTGAAAACTAACAATCTCGACAATAAGGTCTTCCAAAAACACGCGCCCGATCGGGCCCGCCTTTTTTTTTTCCTTCGCCCTTCCTAATGCGCCGCGCCCGATAGAGCTTATGCTCACCCGATCGGGCGCTCCTTTTTGGTACTGCTTCTTTGTGCGTGTCCGCCCGATCGGGCGCAAGCTTGCCTGATCGGGCCCGACTTCTTCTTCGAGGCATGGACTTCGATTAGGCTCGATTCTTCGGCCCAATCCGGATTTCCTCTTCGGGTCTTGAATACTCGATCCATATGCCCCGATATCACATATCGAGCCCTTAATCACCGTCTCTAACTGGTTCTGGGCTTCAACGACGGTCGTGTCTCCTAATGCTTGTAGTTGCTTCGTGAAAAACCCGGAAAACGCTCTAAATGTGCAATTTCCTACAAAACTCAAGCAAAGCTACAAAACACTAGAAAACACAAATTAGTAATAAAAGTTGCTCTAAAGAGCCAAAAACACCACTAATTATGACCATGGGACGGGGGTAAAACACTATATAAATTGGACATATCAAACTCCCCCAAGCCAAACCTTTGCTTGTAGCTAAGCAAAAAGCTCACCAATGAACATATAAAACATGCTTCATCCCAAGTAAACCAAATCAAGCACAAACGATTCAAGGAAAATCTAATGAACATGCTTCAATGTCAATCAATCTCATTCATCTAATCATCCTTCCACCCTAACAATTGTCAAGTAGAGCAAACCACATGAGCATATAGAATTCAAGACTAGTGCTCACACACTCAACTCTCATTTATGTGGCGAGTAAAAGATGTACTCGATCGCTCTCCAACCAACCCCTTTATTTGTGAACAATGCCCTCCTAACTCACTCTCTCGTGTGTTTAAGACAATGAACGCTCAACATACTAGTCGACTCGAAATATGTCAAATCATAACTTGCATTGATAAACAACACTTTAACATTCATACAACTCTTATGCACAAAGGTCGGATGGTTTTTAAAGCTTGTAATGTAAGGCTAGGGTAAAGGGTAGGATAAATTTAGGAAAATGTGAGAGTAAAGCCATGCTTAAGGGAGCCATATCTTAATAAAACCCAAGGTCAAAACAAGTGATGACCATAACACCTCCAATCACAGCTTAACTTCCACAAAAATTCACCAAACAATCGTATACACAACACAATTCCAACACTTACATATTTACTCACAAAGTATGATACTATGAAATAGAGTGAATTTTAAAACAAACTTTAAACTACTTATTCTTTTTTTTCCTTTCTTTTTCTGTTTTTTGAATTTTTTTTCTTGAGCAACCTTCAAATAGAACATTTGAACATTTGAAACAATTTTATTTCTTTGTCTTTTTTTTTTCTTTTTACCTCATATTGGAAATTTTCAACTTTGAAACACAAAACATCAATATTTTCCAATCAAAATATCAAAGAACAATCACTCTTCTTTTATTCCCACATTATGCAAATTATATGCACACCACATCTCCCTCACCTCACCAACTAATAGCTCCCCCAAGCCAAGCTTGGGACTAGTAACCAATGGGGCTCATATAGGCTTTTAGTGTGGCTAAATAAACAATAAAAAGGGCACAAGCAACAACATGGGTAACAAGAAGAGAACAAATGTATCTAATATCGTCTGAAGGCTACCTAAGAGAACAAATGCCTTCGTCCTCCTCAATGTGCATAATATTAAGCCATATAAACATTACTATAGTTGCAAACCAATACTCAAATTCCTTGACATACCAGGAACTATCACACATTCCTAACCAAATCAACTAGTCAAGCACTATATTCACAAATAGTTGGCAATATTGACGCATGTTTAGGAATCCAAACAATTAAACTTCAAACCATGATCAACAAATTCACAAAGCTCATTATCATATACCAAGAATCAAAATAATATTTTCCAAGTATGGGACACAGGGAAGCATGATTTACAATTCTTTGGAACGTATTATTGAATTTTTATATTTTTCAATTTTTTTTTGTATTTTTTTCATAAAGGAAAGCAATAAAAACTACACTAGAAAGCGATAAAAACTATACTAGAAAAGCAATAAATAGAGAAAAGAGAGAAAGAGTTACCATATATACAAGAAATCTCCCCCCAAGCCAAATCAAGCAATGCCCTCATTGACTTGGGAGGGTAGCTAGGAGAAGCTACTCCACGTTATCATCCATCCTCTCGTAGCCTCCTCCATAACTCGAGCCGGCACCACCTTGGCTCGTTCCAGCACCACCGTAGCCCGAACCACCTGCAAAGTAGTTAGGGTCTACACTCCCCCATATCCCCAAAAGGAGCATCACCCCCATATCCATGGATTGAAGAGTAGTCCACATAAGTACCAAAAGCTCCGGGGGTGGAATACTCTCCTTGGGGGTATTGGAACCAATCGGGAACTAATGCCTCGGGGGGAATAGCCCCTCGGCGTGTATAGTCATCGTACATAGGGTATAAACCCCTCCCGAGGTTCCTCTCTACATGACCTACCCGCCTATCCAAAGTTCCTAACCTAGAGTCTAGGTTTTGCACCATGCCCTCCACTCTCCCTTGCCTCTATGCGGTCAAGTTGGCTCCGAAAAGCAGAAAATTCATAAGGGGCATGGGGGTTGATGTTATAATTGACGGAGGAGGTGGGCATGCCATAGGTGTAGGGTTAGGGTGGTGGTTGGTAGTGTGGTGAATGGTGTTGGGGGAATGGTGGGGTTGTGGTGAAAGGTGAGGTTCTTAAACCTCGCCTTGACCGTTTATTTCGAAAGTTTAAGAAGGCTTCCCCTTCTCAAATTTGGTCAAGGCGGGGTTGGGTAGTGTAAATGCTTGGTTTTCCTACCCGATTCCCGGTGGACTATCCACCAAGTCTCACCGCCCATAGGTTGCACCCAGTTTAGGCCCCCTAAGTAAGCTAGGTCCATGAGGGTTGAACCCTCTACTTTCCTATGCCTGGTTGGGTTCCATCCTAGGTGTTTAACAGCAATATGGGTCACCAACCCCCAAAGTAGATAGGCGCCCTAGACCTACCCCCCTCGGCCGCATTGGCTGCCCGTTGAAAGTGTTGGGCTATCCTATGTGGTATGTTTAATTTCTCAGTGTTAGGAATCATATAGGAAGCCAACAATTCAAGTCCATCCCTCCTAACGTTTGTCGGTTCATGCCTCCCAAAAATTGTGAGGCCGACAAACCTTTGCCAAAACTTTAGGACGGGATGTTGAATCCACGTTCCTTTGGCGTGTTGGAGGTTAAGCAAACCCTCCCTGGTGAGTCTCTTGTAGACCACGACGATGTGGTCTTGGGAGGGTTCAATAGGTTTGTCCGATTTAAGCTCAAAAAATTTACCAAATTCTTCTAAAGTTAATCGTACGTCATTGTTTAGCAATCGGAATTGTACATGAGTGATTAAAGCATTCATTTTAATAACATTGAAACTAGAAATAAATTCTAATGTCAAATAATCATAAGTGATTAGGGGATTTTTATCCACCAAGCGCCGTTTGACAAGTGGACCAACCAGGTTCCGCCACGCGTCCTCCACGGACCACTTAAGACACGCCACGTGTCCACCCATGCCAAATGGGACAACCGGCCATCAAGGCCCATTTCAGTCTAGAAGCCCGATCGGCCCTAGGTTTACCTTAAACCTAGAGAGTTGCACGCTTCCCAAGGCTATAAATACTCGATTAATCCTCATTAATCGGGGGACCGAATAATTAACGGAACAGAGGAGAAACATTACGGAACACACTAATAACCGGCTGATCTCGCTAGCAAAGCAGATTACCTACATTAAATACTCTCACCTAGAGAGACCTTATTACTTTAATTTCTGTATTAATTACTCCTTAATCAGGTACTAACTTGACCGTTGGAGGCGGAGCTCTCAGGAGTCTCCGTTATTTTGCAGGTACAGGCGTCCGGTTCCAGTCTCGGAATTGTAACTCTCCCGCAGGACATCAGAAAACCCCGAAACATTTGGCGCCGTCTGTGGGGAGAGTACTTCAGAG